TTGCAGAGAGTCCAGAGGAGGCCACGGAGATGATCCCAGGGCTGGAGCAGCTCTGCTCTGGAGCCAGGCTGGGAGAGTTGGGGTGTTCAGCCTGGAGAAGAGAAGGCTCCAGGGAGACCTTAGAGCACCTTCCAGTGCCTGAAGGGGCTCCAGGAAAGCTGGGGAGGGGCTTGGGACAAGGGCAGGGAGGGCTGGGATGAGGGGGATGGATTAAAACTGAAAGAGGGGAGACTGAGATGAGATCTGAGGAAGAAATTCTTTGCTGTGAGGGTGGTGAGACCCTGGCCCAGGCTGCCCAGAGAAGCTGTGGCTGCCCCATCCCTGGCAGTGTTGAAGGGCAGGTTGGATGGGGCTTGGAGCAACCTGGGCTGGTGGGAGGTGTCCCTGCCCATGCAGGAGGGTGAACCTAGATGATCTTCAAGGGTGTCTTCCAACCCAAACATCTGCATGATAACTGCAACCATTCCTTTCAAACTCAAACTGGAGCTGACTGGGGCCATGTGGCAAACACAACTGCCATCTGAGCATACAGCTGATTTTAAAATTTTTCCTCATCAGGCCACTCTCAACAATTTTGAACTAAACATAATTGTTTGACTTTTTACTCATTTTTTCCTTTGGACTGGCTATTCTCTTCTGTTACATGTAAACCACTGAGTGGAAGAGTAGGGAAGTTAGTCTGGTTTGAGGATCCACTTAACTCCCCAGGCAATTTATATTCTTTATGACTGATGGGGAGGAACTGCATGAGTTCCATGGCCCTTTCCCAGAAATCCCCATATTTAGACTGAAAGCTGCTACTCCAGAGCTGCCATGTTCTCAGTACTCTCTCCTAGGAGAAAGGATGGAGGAAGGAGCAAGGGAACAGGCAAGACACTCTCTGGTGGCAGCTGTTGCACTGGGCTGACTGTCATGCTACGTTGTCTGGACTGTTCCCTCCTCAAGAAGCCTCTTTCATTCCAGAACTCATTCAATTCTGAATCAAGCTTCCCACTCCATGATAAACTCCATCTTGACCCCTTCAGCTGTGAAGTTTTGATGCACAGTGTGTAGGTGGAAGAGGGGAGGAGCCCATTTGCAGCTGAAGTGTGATCTGCAGGCATTTGACACAAGCACAGAAAAAAAGCTACAAAGAACTGGATTTCAACCCTCCTTTGTCAGCTCCAGCCTACATTCTTTTTGCAACACAAGAACCCATTTGATGACCATCACTCTCTTAGCCTGATATGCATGAAGGCTCCTTCCCAAACCATACAAACCATCTAACCCAACTGGTAAAGTGGCCAGCTCACAACATCATGAGATACTCAAGCCAAACTCAAAAACACAAGCACCTCAGTGCAGCTTTAAATTATTATTTGAACTTGTCTTTTCAAAGAGACTTACCAGGATGGCTTCTTAGCTACAGTGTTATTTTATTATTTTTTTTCTCCATGGAAATAGCTGCAGTTGTTTCATTGCTTAACAGCAAGATAAGAGCCTTAAAAACAAAAGACACCAACACAGGAATCCAAAGCTGGTGGTTATTTTTTTACTTGAAGACTCTCTGAAACATTAAAAAAAAAGTATTGTTACAGTGAACTAATTATTTCTGGAATGAAACTGGACACACTTGGTCAAGGTGATGATACGGAAAGGGCAGCCTGGCTTGTACAAAACTGATATTCAAGCATCATCAGTACACAGAGAGGACAGGCTCTTACACACATTTGTTCCACTGCAACCTTCACTCAGTCTCAGTCAACATCTTTGGAAGAGAGATTTCAAATAAAAATAATCAAGAAACTTAAATATTCACAGGAAAAAAAACAACTACAGTATTATTAAAAATATGAACAATAAGATTTACAGACCAGCAAACACAGGCTGCCTATGGATAATCAGAAGCTGCAGAAGATACACCAGTCACAAGCATAGGTCTGCCCCACAGAGAATGGATTCCAGCAATTGGGAACACTTGGGACTAAGAGGCAGTTTTGGAATTTGGAATTACTTGCCTAAGGCAGGGAGGCAGTAGGAAAAGATGGGAGTGCAGAAGGCAAAGGCAGGGTTAATTAGTGCTAGAAGTTCTTGTTAAACCAGGAGTCTAGAAGTACAGCAAGAAAAACCAAAAAGGTTGTTCTTTTAAAATGAAAAGTTAGCTAAAAGTTACCAGGATATACTTTCCATATTGCACAAACATTTTTAAAGTAACTGAAAAATTAGGAAAAGCTGCATGTAGAACAGCTACACTTAAATATATTCAAGTGGAGTTAAGCCCATGTAGTTCAGCTTCTAACAACAACTCAACAGGTTTCCTTAACAAGAGTGTTTCTGTCTCCCTTGTCTTCTCAAGCCTTCTCCAACCTAATGAGATACTTTGTTTGTAAGGACAGTGCTACCAGTCCCAGGACCTCACAGATTTATTGCTTTATTTTACTAGTAACAAAGGCTAAGATCAAACCTTGTAGAGAATTTAAGGCAATCCCACAAGACCCACACCTTAAGGGCATTTAGGGCACACAGTGGTCTCCATTCAAACACCAGGAAAGCCTGGTATCAAAAAATGACAGGAATTTAACCCAGATTTTAACCAAAAGGACCCTTTCAAGCATGAGTTTTTACCTTTCTAACACACAGCCCAGCACTGAAGTTTTAAGTCATTCCAGAGCACCAGTGTTCAGAAAAAGAAAGCAGAAGTCCAAGGAGGGAGTTCCAGGACATCTTACAGAACCTGTTCTTCCTAAGAACATCCTGGAAGATTCACTCAGATATCTGGATACCTGAGTCACTTTTTTTGCCATTCAGAACATGGAAGGATGAATTATGATCTATCAGGTGTACTTACAACACAACTTGCAAAGAAGTATTCAAGACTGACAAAAACCACTGTGAATTTTTGACACCTTTATAAGCTGATGCCCCTGCAAGAGCTTTGAGTATTATTTTTACCCAATATTTCTTTCATATCCCACTGAGCTCATTTTGAGCTCCTGGTCTGATACTCTGTCTTCTTAACAACCACAAGGAGACCCTGGCTTTAGAGACCCTGGCTGCAATGAACACATCAAGAGCTTTTCTATGTTTCTGGTCTTAATTACTCATGACCAGGTTTACTAAGGCCAAAGATTTATCAACTGCCAGGGCTGCAAACCAGCTCAGATGAACACATTTCAAAACAAACCACAACTAAAAAGAAAACCAACCAAAACAAAACGCCCCAGCAAGAACAGGCTTGTCAAAAAAGCTCAGCAACCCTTCCCTTGCAAATACTTTGGAAACTAACTGAAAAACTATGGAAAATTCTTTACAAGTGATGCAAGGTAACACTGGCTCCAGGAGCATGTGCATTTTTATTTCTACACAGAGTTATAAAACAAATACCACACAGAAAACAGCAGCTACAGGGCTTTTTCTTTAAAGGAAAGAATGAGGGTGTGTTGTTCCAAGCTGGTTTTGTGAGAACAGAAAAGATGACTTTCTAGAAAAGAAACTAAGAAGCAGTTATTTCAACTTCAGATCAGGTACAGCCTGATTGGCAGTAAAACTGGATTAAGCAGAAATTATTGATCATGTATTAAAAATAAGCAGAATCCTGCCATCCAGCAGGGAGGGTTTGTACTCAAGAGGAGGACCCTGAATGTAAACTATTCCCATCTGAATCAGAGTCACTGAGACAAACAAGACTACAGGTGCTACTTAAGTTTTTTCTGGATAATTACTTCACCAGGAGGCTCATCTAGCTTTTTACAGCCTTTTCTAGATGAAACGGATGCAAACAGCAGGTTTCTGGGGCAGCCAGAGAATCCACACTCCAGAGAGCTTGTGGTAACTCCCCCCTGGGAGGATGGCAGAGACAAACTCTCCAGCTCTTGCTCAGGGGGCAACTTCTGCTCCTTAAAATGAAGATGGCAACGTTCATCCCTTTGGAAGAAAGACTGGGGGGTTGTAGTACTCATTGTCACAGCAGAAAGTTTTTGTCACCTGAAGAAGCCTGGAACATGTCCCACAACTGAAGGAGCTTTTCCCCTCAGCATTTCTTCAGAGCACAACTAGATAAATTTCTACTGAGACACCTTTTTGAATGCTTTGGCAGCAAAGAGCCCAGTGCCTTCCCTTGCTAGTGCTCCCTAAAGCAACAGGTACACTGGCTTACTTTTTGTTAAAGAAAAAATAAAGTCCCTATAGAACAAGTCATTCAAGAAGCCACATAAATTATTTCTTGGCATTTCTCCACACACAGACAGGAGAAATTCCAGCTATTTGCAACAGCATGTTTTAGCTCTGAATACCTGCTGCCAAAGATGCTTTTCTTTTGCTTTTGTTTTTCTGAATTCACGAAATGCATCAATATTACCACGACAGGAGTCATTGTTCTCTTCAAGCTGAAGGATTTGACATTTATCTTCCTTTTGAGTTGGTGACTCAAAGACTAATCCTGCATGCAAATCAAACTAAGATTTCTCCATTGTAGCAGCAGGGTTCACAGGGCGCTGCCTCACCGGGTTGGGTGATGAGTCCTTGCTGGACACCTTTTTACCCTCTGTTTCATCATCTGATATATCTTCCTCATCTGCTTCTTGCTCTTCATCCAGCTTTTTCAGCAGCTGAGCTGATGCTGGAGCTAGTTTTCCTTAAGAAGAAAACAGGCATAAACCAATAAATGTCATTACCATAATAAATGTATTTTTTCTAACATCACAGGCTAGCACAGAATTTTAATCAATTTAATCCAGGTAACACTCTCCAGTATCACCACTGAAGCTGCAATCTTTGGTAGAACTTGGTTAGCATGAAGTTACCCACAGGTCAAGCACTAACAGATGACAGACTACCTAGACAAGTTAAAATAAAACCTTGAAAAAATGAGCCAGGTTCCTACAAACCAGACACCATTCCAGTGGTCTTTTGTGACTTGTTAAGGAGTTGGAAAACTCCAAGGACTAACCCCAAACTGAATCACTATCCACAGAAAGGCAGATTCACTCTTAATCCTCATTTTGTCCCTCAAACTCACACAATCCCACAGTTTAGCACCACAGAGAGCTGCACTCAGAGCTAAATACAAACCCACCATTAAACCTATGGACAAGCAGCTGCAGGAAAAGCATCACTCACAAATATAACCTTCTACAGTAAATCTCACGTTCTGCAGACACCAGTCACATACTGGTACTTATTAAATAAGATTTCCCAACAGCTTCACTGAATCAGAAGCACACAGTAGCCTTACTTGGGTGTGGGTAGGGTGCTGGTCTGTGCCTCTTGGATGGGCAGATACAGTCTGCTAAGAACACCATTATCTGAAACCAAAGACAGAAAAGTTTAAACCTCCAAACATCCAGCACATTAGAATCAATGAATTGTTTTTGCTGGAAAAGACCTTTCAGATCACCAAGCCCAACCCTTTCCCCAGCCCTGCCAAGGCCACCCCTGCCCCATGTCACTCAGCACCACATCTACAGGCTTTGAAATCCCTCCAGGGATGGGGACTCCCCCCCTGCCCTGGGCAGCCTGGGCCAGGGCCTGACAGCCCTTTGGGGAAGAAATTGTTTCCAAGATCCAATCTAAACATCTCCTGGCACAACTTGAGGCCACTTCCTCTTGTCCTATCACTTGTTCCTTGGGAGCAGAGCCCGACCCCCCTGGCTCCAACCTCCTCTCAGGCAGTTGCAGAGCCAGCAGGTCTCCCCTCAGCCTCCTTGTCTCCAGGCTGGAGACCCCCAGCTCCCTCAGACTTGTGTGTCTAAGGAGTGCAGCAGGTCACCAACCATTTCCCCTTGAATTGCAGGAGCTTCCTTCTGCCTCCCATCCCTGTCTTCCAGCTCAGGGGGAAAAGAACTGGTCTCACTACTGAAGATGAGGCAAGGAAGGTGCTGGCACCATCCTGAGCAGCCACAGCCAATCTGCTTCAACTGCTTCACTTACCAGCCCCAGTATCAGTCCTGAGAAGAGAGTTGCCAAGGCAAAAATAGCATAGGAGCCCCAAACAGGTATTCCAACATTTTCTGTTAAATAACCATGGCAGTGCTGAAATAAAAGACAAGGGAGTCAGTTCAAGAACAGCTGAGTATCACGTCTGTTCAGGTAAAACAGAGGTTGAAGCACATACCCTGATCCACATGGACAACTGAAACAAAGCTGACATACTGCTCATCCTGAAACAAAGCAGAACAAGGTAACTGCAAACACCTTCCAGGCAGCCACAGACCTGTACCTTCTGATCTGCCTGACTGGTTCTTCTTTAGTCCCATGTTGAACAACATTCTGCTCATGTCTAGTTTCCCTTCTAACTACTTGGATTTTTAGCTTCTGTTTTGTCTTTTCCCTCCACTCCCATGAAGTTCCCTTCAGCACCAGCTTAAGTAACATTCCACATACGGATAAACTATGAATTCACAAACTTCCTTGACCTGCTGACATAGGAATTTCAGTCACTGTTGTTTACATTCTAAGAGGTTTTTTTGGACCAACAGTTTATGAGAAGCCAGCTGGAACTCTATGCAATATAGTAAGAATTAAGCATCTGGACATTTTATGAAAATGAAAAAATAACCTGTTAAAAGAAACAACCCATCAGGTTATGTAAGAACTGACCGATCTTCAGAGACTTAAGTTTAGCTTTATTTTAGACACAAGTGAAAAAGACCAGGCTATCCATCTGCCATGAATATCCTGCTGAGCTTCCTAGAAGAGCCAAAATAATAGCCAATTTCAGTCTAACATAAGAGTCCACAAGCTGAACAGTGGCACAGCCCAGTGCAGGCAGCACAGAGGGACTGCTTGGACTAACAGAAAGAAAACCACGAACAACTGGGCTCATTTGCCTCAGTCAGTTTTACCCCCAACAAGCTTTATCACTCACAGTTACTCAGCCACTCTGAAACCAGCACACAGCACATGCAACAACATAGAAAAGCCCTTTAAAGCAACAAAATTAGAAAAGAGCATGTTTTTTTCTCAGTCTCCTCACTTTTCCTTCAGCAAAAGAACCTCCACCCTTCCACTCTGCTTTTAACCTTGCTGCAGATGATGTCTTCTTAAATGGCCACCTTACAGCTATGCTTTTAGTGCTAATTTCCTAGAATTGAGCTGGACAAAACATTATTTCTGCTTTAGAATCAAAAGAACTTCAAGTGTCAATCCCCTACAAGGGTTCAGTGAAACAATACACCCACCTACAACTATTTGTTGCCTTAAAGTCCAACCTTGCCTGGGACTTCTTTTGCCAGGCTGGTGCACACAATCCTCCCCCAGCTGATGGAGGAGGCAGGACCCCCCCACCCATCACCCTCCCACCAGCACAGAGCTGTTGAGGTGGAGGTAGCACACCTAAGGATCTGTCCCAGCATGTTCTTAAAGTGTGCATCCTGAACAATTGGTTACAAAACTCATACCAAAACTTACAGGAAAGAGGAAGGACCAAACCAGGATGAAACAGGTTCAACCGACTTCCATTCCTGGTCATTGATGAAGTTTATGAAATCAGTTTTAGTTCTTGCACCCTGGTATCTCCTGAACTCTCCATCTTTACAGCTGTAAAGCAAAAAGTCCTTTATTTCAGACAGTGTAAGCATGCAGCATTTGCCTCCACTCAACATCTTCGCTCCCATCACCTTTTTAACTTATTGTTTTTAGTTCTACTTTGCTTCAGACAATCTTGGTTCTAAAATGTTTTCCAAGAATCCTGACAACAAGTATTCCTAGAACCCTGGCCCCACCTGCCTCTTGGCTAGCTTTAGGTTGCCATTCCATAAAAAGATAATCATCTCACTAATGCACTTGCCACACAACTTGCATTAAGCTCAACCCACAGAGAAAAGATTGCAAAACAGAAACATCTATGAGAGGAGACAATAATTGAGGCCTGAAGGGAAAAGAAAAAATCACTGGCAGTACTGTAAGGTCACAGCAGGTAAAGTTGTGGTTGTCTCTGTGTCAAGTAACCCATAATGTTAAAGAATAGGGTAAATCTAATTCATTTGCCCCCCAGAAAAGTGAAAAAGAGTGTTCTTTCTCCTCTAAAAAAACCCTGCTGCATTGCATACTTACTGATAGATGGTGGGAAGGGCTGTTATGACAAATCGTCCACTTAATCCTGCAAGAAAATAGTTCTTTTCAGAATAGTAGAGCTCTCTTGGGTAAGAAAAAGCAAGAAATGTGACTGTGCACCAAAATAAAAACAGGTGCTCCCAAGTATCAGTCTCTAATTGAGATCAAACCCAAACCTGTGCAAATCAAAGTACTGCGTTTGTGGGATTCCACAAATTCCAAGCTCAGCTTCCTGGAACACAAGTGCTACTTTTATAACTCAAAAAAATATGAGAAAGAACTTGAACATTATTCTGTCATTGCCACCCAGGACTGGTCAACTCATTCCTCACTTCCACTGCATGTGGCAATGCTCAAAAATGTCACTACACACGCTCAAAGAGTGGGGGGCTTGTTGTTAGTAGGGGTATCTCTGCTCTACAGGTGGGCATTTTAATATGCTAATCACTCATTAACATATTAACGATATGTTGATACAATTAATCAAATTACTCAAGTATTTTTCTACCCTGTGCTCAAGGCTGTAACCCAGACAAGTTGTGGGCAGTGCTCCTTTCCACCCTGCAGGTCTGTCTCAACACCAGGCTGCTGACTACCTGGGACATGTTTCTCTCTAATTGGAATCTGGTTTTGTCTGATTCTGACTGTTCCACTCTTATCTAGGCCCTATTTTTATTCCACATGTCCCTTTTGTTCTCGGCGATTTCTCCCAAAAGGGGATTTTCTCCCCAAATGTTACTTATTTCAGTTAATAACCGACATCACAAGGAAGGCTGAAACCTCTTTTCTTTGCTCTGTATGATGTTCAAGAAGCAAAGCTTAAAATCTCCTTCAAATCACCCAAGTTACTTTTGAGAGAAACCTTGTTTCCTTCCTCTATTAAGAAATACTCGAGTACTGTTGTCTACAAGTAACAATGTGCCTTTGACAGAGACCAAGAGAATCAAATCACAGAGTGGTCTGGGTGGGAAAGGACCTTCAAGACCATCCAGTCCCAACCCCCTGCATGGGCAGGGACACCTCCCACCAGCCCAGGCTGCTCCAAGCCCCATCCAACCTGCCCTTCAACACTGCCAGGGATGGGGCAGCGACAGCTTCTCTGGGCAACCTGGGTCTCCCCACCCTCGTTATTAGTCCTGTCGATCCTGTACCTCTCCCAAAGCACCCAGCTTGCCCCGAACGCCCTCCCCGAGCCCCCAGAAGCCCGAGGAGCTCCCAGCCCGGCCCCCCCAGACGCTCACCCGGCTGCTCCGTGACATCCACCTTGGCAATGTTCACCTCCAGGTCCTCACCCCACTCGGCAAACTTCTCCCACTCGGGCTGCAGGCTCTGGCAGGCGGGGCACCACGGGGCGTAGCTGGGGGAGGCACAAGACTGTGAGGAACAGACAGCCCCACC